CTGTAGTCGCGGGTCGCACTTTTACAGAATATTATAAACCGCGTCAGTATTTCAGCATGCGAAGATGGCCACCATGTGAACAGAGTCCTGCGAGTCAACAAGTCATCAAGGTTAGTGGGCCGGTGGTACAGGCAAAGGTTGTCAAGGAACCGGCAGTCAGAAAGTCGAATGAGGAGAAGAAGATGGAATCGTTGAGGAAAAAGCAGGAGCCGGTGCATGTTGGGGGCGGGCCACCTAATTTCCCATTCGGAGAGACGCCTTATCAACAGGCTTATCAGAGTTGGAGGATCACGGAGGATTTAAAAGATGGTAAGTTTCCATTAATTTTTGTCTCGTCTCGCATTTCCCTTGGTGAATTTAATGTCGTCCGGGGAATCAATGGTACTAACATTTATATCACACAGTTCCCGAGTTCAAACCTAAGCCTAAGCCAAAGAGCCTCCTCGATAAAGTTCTCCCCACTATTCCCCAGTCACCGATAGACCATTTTGCACTCCCCAGAATCCCCCCTTCCTTTCGTCCCAGAAGTATGCCTGTCGAAATTTTGCGCCAGAAGACCATTGCCGCCGCCCAATCTATGGCCGGCTTACCTAACCTCACCGAATACTACAGAGAAGACAACGAAGCAAGGGCAATAAATGATTACCGTCGATGGCAGAAAGAAAATGAAAGGATCAAAATGATTGAAGAACTGGCCAAGGGAAAGAGTTGGCAGAGTATGACAAGGGATGAGAGGGAGAAGTATGAAGGTGAATTGGCGGTTATGGAGATGGAGGAGCAGCGGGCGCTGCAAAATGCAGGGGGGTGGAATATTGGAGGTGGAGTGAGAGAGAGGAAGGGGAAGCGTGGTTCTGATGGGGCCCTGGTATCGAGGACCAGCCGTGGCGGGAAGAAAAGGAATCGAAGCGGGAGTGCTGGTGGAAAAGGGGGTAGAAAAAAGAGAGGCAGTAGACCATCGCCGATTCAAACTGACGACACGTTAATGTCGGGAGCGTTGTGAGTCTCATGCACGTCAAGTCTTGGGAGATCTGAAGAAATAAATTGTTGAATAGGATATTTGGCTACATGTTAAATAATTGTTCTGTTTATCTGGCGTATGTCCGCATGTACTTGAGATGAGTTCTATGTATTGAAAATTAAGGACTGAAATAGTACATGGTTGGTATAAACTTTCAAAATATAATTTCCAGTAATCAAATGCAGTAATGATTACACCAATTTGAACATGTATAGATGGCCAGGCTGTGAATAGTGTACTCACAATAAATAAGTCATGAGCTGCAGTTGCATGGTCATTCAATTGCATACCATAGAAAAGCTGACGCAATTACATGTTGGTTGTATAATTCGCTTATGTATAAGGGGGTTACATAGTAGGCGAGTTACAGTCGTCTAACTGATCATGGACAAGTCTCGAGTTGTAAGTTTCAAGCAAGCCAATGGTCTACTCGACTAACAACTTATCGGACTAATCAATAGCTTCCGTTAATCTTATAGTTAGAATTAACCTTATTTTTTGAATCGATCACAATTGTTCATTCATTGCCCATATTCAAATGCAAATGGCCACTCCCACATCTAGGAGGAAATCCCATTTTGTGGCGCTACGTAATGACTGAAGCCCACAATTGAAGTGTGGAATTTGTGGCGCAATCTCCTGCAACACCCCGCCATTCGTCCAGACATAGAAGTGATCGACAATTATATCCTGCTTTGAGATTTTGATGCGTAATTACGTCAGAAGAGATTGGAGAGCTTAAGTTTATACACAATTCTCTACGACTTTCAATCAACTAGTATTTTACACTATTTTCTATTAGACTTGAATATTACCATGGGGTTATTCCGAACTAAAGACAAAACTCGCCTTGAACTACCTTCAGCGACACTCCCAATTCCTCCGGACGATGAAAATAGGCTCTCGAACAATCGCAATAATGATTCTTTTAGAAGTAGCAATATCTCGAGCGCAGATACCCGAGTGAATCAAGCTCAAAATCAAAATCCTGGAACCACAACGACAACGACAACCACCACCACCACAAGTAAGTATCTAAGACTAGATCTATTCGGCGACTGAACAGAAATCTGACATGGAGAAGCAACCACAACAGTCCGTAATGATGGTTCAACTCAGACTTACACTCACCCATATGACCCCTCAATCGACCCTTCTCCTGCATCAACAACAACCTACCCTTCAAATGAGCCACCTGTTCCACCAATTGGAACTCCTCAGCCTACTCAAACACCAGTACCTTCAGAAGCAGAACAGTCCCTGCGAAGAACAAGTACTGGTGGGGGTCGTGTAATTCCCGAACGTTCACCACTTCGAAACTCCAATCCCGTTCCCCCTCTCGTGATAGACCATACCATGGATCCGAATGCCCCCAGTCCCTTGAACGTCACCGGCACCAACACCAGCACCACAAATGCTCAAATGAATTCACAGGCCAACCATGATCTTCACGATCAGAACCTAACATCAAACCCAAATACAATCAATCCACCAAGAATGTCAATCAATGAACCACAAACGCCAAATAGTCCTACAAAACCTAACGTTAATTTCTCTCGTCCAGGAGGCAAACGAGAGAATATTGTGAATGCTGCGAGAGGTATCCATGGAGCCGGAGAAGCACTCAGGGGAAGTGTAAACTCTGCGATCGCAGGAGGACTCCGAGATCAAAAGGACCTCGAACAGAACCGCGCAATCAAAGAGCAGGGAATGAGAGAGTTCACGAATAGTGGGTTTAGAGAGAAGGCTGGAAATAGGTTGAGGAGGAGAAGCGGAGGGATTGCAAATGGGAATCAGGCTGGGGTTGTGGGAGGGAGAATTTGAGGAAATCGTGTGGTTGATGAGTTAGACTGTGGATACAATGTTGTTGTAATGTGAATGGTAAGTTTGTATCTATGAATTGGCGTTAAGGCTGCTCTAGGCTACAGGGTTTAGGTGCGTGTGAGGATGTGCATTGTACAAAATGATATCCATTGTTTTAGTGCACTTGTAAAAACGAAAAATGTCTGAATGTATCAATCAATATTGAGACTCTGTGGAAATGCTTGCCGAATGATACTAAATTTTTGGAGAACATTCCACACCTATTTCTAGTATCAAGATATAGATTAATAGATTTACTTGCATTATTGCGGTTATTCTCAAGAGCTATTTACACATCGCAGATTTTTATTCATTAAAATCAGTTTACAATTCATTTCACGTGTTCAAAGCGGTATTTTCGAGGGAAATTGTACATTCATATTACTTACCAAGACTAGATGTTGTCTTGCATGATCAAAGCACTTGCATTTTTTCGGGGGGTTTTTTTTATATATAGAATTTATTCTTATTTAGTCGTAATCAAAAGGAAAGGGGAGAGAAGGAAAACTTGACTTACTTATGAACTTCCGTCTTTCTTCGGAACTCTAACCCCCCGTTCCCACTCTCCCATCTTCGCAGCCCAACCATCCGCCTTCGCTTTGAGCATCTCTTTCTTCTGTTGCCACTTCTCTTCCTCGGTGCCCGCGAAAATCTTATCCAAGTCTCCAGGCCCCATTCCCATGGCCTTTGCGCAAGGTGGACAGGGATAGGATTGATAGAGGGGCTCGTAAAGGACTTGAGGACAGGCGACTCGAGCTGTGAACGTGAATTCCTGAGAAGTGGTTTGGGGCTGCTGTGGTTGAGAGGATCGGAGAGTTAGTCGCCGAGCCAATTTTCCCAAATTCTGTCCCATGCCTTTGAACGCGGAGCTGGCTGAGCGTTGAAGCTTTGCACTGGCATTTGAGATTGCGGAGCTGGAAGTGGAGGGTCGGCTGTCCTGTTTCCGTACGCAGAGGTCTGAGTGATGGGTGAAGGTGGTGACTGTGTGGCCACAGTGATTGTGGAAAGTTTGGGTTGCTTGGCAGCTGGGAGTGGTGACTTCTTGTGCTGGCATGTTGAGATTAGTCTTTTGGGTTAGTTTTTGGTGATTAGTGTTATTAGATCTAGGATCTTTTGGTTTTTATGGAAGTAAAGACAGAATGGCAGGACCGAGAGCTATTTATCGTCATGAAGAGGAGTTGTTTCGAACAAGAGGTTTGGAATAGTGGCATTGTTCGTGGAAGTGAGAACAGGTATTTGGCTCTGATGAGACAAAAACTATCACAGAACAACGACGAATGTGTGTTGTACTGTTCTAATAAGCGATTCGAATCTAGGCCTGCTCTGTTTCTTCGCCATCGATTTTCTGTCTTTGATTTGAAAATTGAAGGGTGAAGAGATCAATATGATTTGACGACACACAAACATGGGCGGAATTTGGAATTTGAAGATTATGAGACGATGGCACTTTGTGAAGGACCAATTCGAGGGCATTACTTCTGAAGGTCTGATATTCACGAAAACACCTGGAAAAATCTAGAAAGTCTGGACCAGTGTAGACCAACTTAAGTCAAAAAGAAGCATCATACATTCTATAATTCGAACGACCTACTGGACAGATTACCCACGTGAGGGAGCGGATGCCAGACCAAATGCCTTACACATCATTATCGGACGAACAAATGTCAACGCAACACAACATGACTCTGATACCATAAAATATTACATCACATAGCTTTCAACCCTTTGCTCGGCCAGCTTTTCAATACCATGATCTATCTCAAAAACATACTGAAAAAAAAAAGCCCGCAGAAAACTACAATTATATAATCACTAAATTACTCACACTTTTATTATGTGTATCGTGTTCAAAATGAAAACTTGAATTTATTATCGTTCCCACTTGGGAATTTCTCATTCCAATCGAAAACAAATGACTTTAGAAAAAATAATTAAGAAATATCTATCTATCTATCTATATTCTAGGAAATGACTCAAGGGAATGGACTGAAGAAGTGTGTAAAAGAAATGACTCAAAGAGATCGATATAAGGAGTGACTTTAAGAAAGACGAAGAATTCTATACTACCACAAAAGAAAACAACAGTAGAACCACTGCCCTGACTTACCTCTTCCAAATTCTAATCCTCAACCACCATAACAACTCTCCACCCCTCAGGGACATCGACTCTCAATTTCTCCCCCTTTCTCGGCTCCGGAACTCTAACTTCCTTTCTCGTATAGTCGTACCCGTATTCTGGATCTCTGTAGCTAGGTCTCGAGCGAGATTCATATATTCCGGGTTCTTCATATCTGGAGCTTTTGTGGGGTTCGTGCTTGGAACGAAATTGATATTTTTCGTCTGGACCATTTTGTCTCTGTCTAAGACGATCCTTAAGACGTTCTTCTTCTTCTTCCTCCTCTCTTCGCAATCTGATATAATCTAATTCTTCTTCATGCTGTCTTCTCAGCCTCTCCTTTTTGAGTTCTTGTCTTGCTCGAAGATCCTCTCTGACTCTTTCTCGGTCTTCTCGTTCTTCTTCCATCTTCCTTAATATCTCTGCACGTGTGCGACTAGAAGATGAGTATGAGGACGAAGAAGATTTGTGGGAAGATTCGGGTTGATATCTTGGTCGTGTGGGAGGAGGAGATGGTGATCGAGCTCTGGGGTTGTAGTATTGATTTCGGGATGGATGAGGAACATGAGGTCTGCGATATTCTCCTCTACCTCTACGATACTCTTTTCTCTCAGGGGAAGGAGCTCTGCGGCTACGGCGAGATTGTTGAGGCTCATCATCCCTGGCAGCTCGAGCCGCTCGCTCGGCTCGCTTTCGGGCACGATATTCTTCTGTCGGATCTGGCTGAGGAACTGTTGGTCTGCGATATTCTTCTCTTCCATAAGACTTACAGCTCGATTGCCTATAAACAGGCTCAGGAGATGGAGATCTCGCACGAGATCTCTCTTCATGTCTGTAATCATAATATGGTCCCTGATGAGCTTCATACTCCTCAACCTCAGATCCAGATCCAGATTCAGAGTCAGATTCTAAAGCAAGAGCAGCTAGCTTGTAGAAAGTTTTGGGACTAATTCTCTCGTCTTCGATCGATGGAGGTGGTTTTTCGCCATTGTCGGTATTGTATACCGGAGCTTTGGCTTTATGTGACATGATGTCTCACTTTTGCTTGCTAGTATCTGTAGATAGACGTAGAATGATCAAATGCTGGGATTGGTTCGCGAGCTGGTTGCTGTGATATGTGTATTGGGAGATAGTGAAAGATGTAGAAAAATCAAATAGGGGGATTGAAAAGCTTAAATACATGACTGTCGTGAGTTGTTTCAGTGTTATCAACCAACAATAAGACCCGAGACAAAGAATCGCTATTGATGTTGGTCCAAAATAGAATTGTGGGATCAGAAGAATAAAGGAAGCGGAGTGAGAGAGACAAAGAAAAACACCGATGAGTTAGTCGTCGGCAATTATCCAAATGCTCAACTGATTCACCAAGCAAGCATCTTCATCTCATACTGGGAATTATCTCAGATCACACGAAGGTTTAAAGTATACTACTGAACCTCTTATTGAAATTTGTTGTATTAGACTAGATTATCGGGTATCATTATGTATTAAAAGTGTTCTTTCCAATTCTACCGACAAAAGAAACTTTTTTCCGAGTCCATCCATCCTATTCATCCATAGCTCTTTTGTTTCCAAACCCATTGCTCCACTTGCGAAACCCAGCATATCATACAAGATAGAATATTCCCACACTGCTCCGTTGTTAATGTGAAGTTCTTCATCGATTCACAAATTCTTCTTTGCATTGAATAGGACTGTAACACCATTTACAGCCAAAATAGCCACCTCACAGCTCCCACCGCACCTCTTCCAATCCCCATAACAGCCCTGCACAATACAACCATAAACCAAACATACCACATTACTCCCACCAACGCCCATTCCACCAGCACCCACCCTCCTCTTCTCACCCATCTAAATCTTCTCCTCCTTCTCCGGATCATCTTATCCATGCTAGCCATCAACTTGTTCACTTCTAATATCTGGCTCGTGACCAGGTCTTTGGAGACCTCGTCTGCTTCATCCGCTGCCTTTCTTGCCATTGGAGTTAAATTATCCACTAGACGACTATGTAGAGCCCCCATTTCGTTCAGAAGCGTTTGAATGGTATGCATGGAGAAGTTTTCTTGAGATTTTTGCCATAATTGTGTTGAAAGTTGGATGTCATCCCTAATGATGTTTGCTGCTAATATATGCTGTTGTGATCTTGGGACCGGAGGAAGAGGCTTATTAGTGAGTGAAACTATACCTTTGTAGCATTTCTCCTGCGCAGTTCGAAAGTCTACAGGTTCCGCGGCTTGACGTGTGAGGTACATTGACTTGACGCCAGACGAGTAGAGACGCGTTTTAACGTATGCAATGTCTCGTCTCGTCATGGGACCACGATGAGTTGATACCCCGCTATCAGAGTGGCTCCAACGACGATTTATATCAAGTGAGGGGCGTCTATTGTCATTCACTGTGATGTGTGACAAGCCAGTTACTGGTATTGTATCGACTCTATGGCCAGGATATCCGAGTATGGCATTCAATCGAGCGTCCGCGTTACGAACACCTCGAGCATAGCTCCCTTTGTGAGTTGATTTATCAGAGACATCAGAATCATGTCGGTTTCCTCCTTCTGGAGATGATGCTGGTGAAACGCCGTCTATTTCGATTCTTGGAGGAGGTTCAAGTTTTGAACTGGAGGAGTTTTCAACATCCGAAGGCTCTGCTTCAATGACTGCTTCTGCTTTGCGACTTTGTGTGGACCTTCCGCGATTTTCCAAAGGCGACTTGAATGAAGGCATGTCATTGAGATAAGTTGGAATCGACTTATCATGTGGCACTTCCACATCTACTGGCCTCGAGTCATGCCTATCCAGAAATGGTGTCTTTTCGTTATCGCGCACCGGCGTGCGGAAATCTTCTATGTCGGATTCATCGGTTGAAGCAGTAGAATTGTTCCAATCCTTTTTCCATAAAAACTCGCTAACTCTGGCAACAGGTCCACGAGAGCCCTTGAACAATCCTCGGATACCTGATGGTGGTTCGTCACCTTTGCCCCTCCGTAGGCTTGTCTGTTTCTTCAAAGACTTTGCACTTTCATCTGTGTCTCTTGACGTGAGTTTCTTCGTGGGGCTCAGGGACCGGTTACGGCCATTGAGAGTTTCAGAAACTTGATCTCTAGGATCAAGTCTCGAGTCTATGGAACCAATAGAGTCTATCGATACACGAGATCTCTCTGGTTCGTATTCAACACTGCGGTCTCTGCTGTGCTCACGGAACGGATTAATCTTGGACCTGACTCGTGATAGGGCCCGTTTTCTGTTTGGCGACGACCGGCGACTACGAGGTGATGAGAGGTCTAGTCCAATACTAGGAACAAAATTAGATAACTTTGAGGCACGTATTTGTGGGGAATTGGGAGCAGTAGTGTCAAGGCCATCCAAAGAGTTTCGAGGACTAAAGCCCGGTACTTCGAGGCTTGGTCGTCCTGATGGGGTAGATATGAAAGGATGTTTTTTCTTGATAGGAGAATCTTTATTGACACCCTTCAGATCCGTCCTTTTTTGATGCAAACTTATACTCGAGTCCGATTTCTCCCCACTGTTGAGGACAGGGAGAGTTGGTGTTTCAATGGCTGGAACGGAAACTTGTTTATCCAGCTTGTTGGGTGTCATCCAATTGGAATCATCAGATTCCTTGGCAAGCATTTCCAACATCTGTTTTTCGAGAATGTCTTTACCGTGATCTTCTTGACTGTCGTTCGTCCCACTACGTCTCCGTTTCGAAAACCTTTTTATATGTTCACTGTCGGAGGAATCGGAACTAGATCTACTCTTAGATCGTAGAAAGCGGGAACGTTCGCGGCTTACACTGTGGCTACCATGTTGCGCATGAGTTGCATCATGTAGTTTGTGCCGAACCTTGGAGGCTTTACTTTCCAGATGCTTATCTGAATCAACCTTAGAAGATCTGAACTCTGGAAGCTTAGTATCGATTCGAAGGTCAACAGCCGAGTTCAATTTCTTGTGATGAGAGCGATCCGGTGATTTAAGCATGTCAAAGTCGTCGGGTTTGCGTGGGATGGATTGCCTAGGCTCAGGATTTCGAGGAAATATTGGTCTCCCATTTCGATCTTCAATCAGCGTCTTATTGTCACCCTGTTCCATCCAGAAGATGTCTGCAAGCATATCTGCAGGACTAGTAGCCCAGTCAATTCTGGGTCTTGCCAATTTAAGTGCGCTTTGATTCTTACTCCCCGCAGATTGAGGTGATGTATGGGGCGAATGGCCTTCTTCTATAGCTTTTGAGAATGGCGGTAGTGCTACATGATTTCCGTTGACAAAATTGTCACTTAGAGCAGCTTTTGAAACTTCATCAACCCACCATGAGACCTTGTGGACATTTCCAAATTCTTGTGCTTCTCCATCAATGGAAATCCGAGCTCGAGCACGCACTTTTCTATTCCTGATATACTGCAAAGGATTATATTGCCTGCCGAATATGCGATGAGGTTGTTCGGACGTAGAGCCTGGACTGCTGTGCTGATTCTTCTCCTCAGATCCGGCCTTCAATGGAGGGACATATTGTAACAATCGACGGTATTGGGCCATGAGCTCAATTGCCTTTTTAGCCTTTTCTGCTCTTGCCAATGTAGATGAAGAGAATTGGTATTGGTATGCAGTTTCGGATGCATCTAGCGTTATTGGTAAAGGGCCAATTTTAATTCCAGATGAGAGGCGTGGAGAACTTGTAAGTGCCCTATCAGTTCTGTCAGGCTTCGGTGAGATATTTCTGGACACTCTCCTTTGCTGCTGCAAATGGTGACGTAGACTGCCTCCTGCCATCTCATCTCTAAAGCCTACAGCATTCGAGGGTAATGGTGTAGAAGCATTACGTCTCGATGCGATTCTTCTACTTTCACTAAGATTCAGGGCCAGGTTGACGATTTGGGCAGAATCAACATCAAGCCCGCTTGTAACAGGCTTTTCAGACGCATTTGTACCTCGCCCATGATCACTGTGCGGCGTCGTATTTTCATCAACTATATCTTCCTCTTCTATGTCCTGGGCTGTGGGAGCGCTCGCCACATTGGAAGCCAGGGGACTTCCTACTGTAGTACCATTACGCGATTGTCTCTTGCTCTGTTTTTTATCCGCTGATTTACCTTTCACATCGTGAAAAAATCCCCGATTGCGAGGTTGTTGTTCTGCCGTGGCCGTAGATAAGCTCTCTGCATTGCGATAGAATAGAGAATTTGATAATAGAAATCCTCCACTACTTCGACTCTTGTTGTGGGCCCTATGGTTGCTTCTCCCGTCCCTTTTACTTTTGTCCTCTGTGCCTCCATCCAATCCACCCTGTTGTTCACTACCTTCTTCGTTCAAGGTAATTGTCGCAAAGCTATTTCGATTACTGACTGCCGTACTAGATTCGCCCGTCTCGCTGCTGTCATTACTGTATCGTTGGGTTGAACTCGAATATGTGCTTGAAGTCGTTCGGCGTTCGATCGGTGAAGTGCTAGAACTATTTCTTGTCGTGGCGTCGAGGGGAGGATAAGATGTCATGTTTTTCTCCCGGCCTAGCTATCTGTTTATGCAGCAGCATCCAAGTTATGAGAATAATTGCTATCGCATGTTGAAAAATGAAAAGTAGAAGACGTTGCCCGATAGCTGTGTTATTTGGAAGTTGTACTTTCCGTTTAGCAATCAGCAGATTAAGCTTTCACATGCCGGGAGAGATGATGATCCACAGCCATAGTGTATACATTCGGTAGTTCTGACGCGAATTTGCTTTTTACTGTTTCTGAGACCCGACCATGCCAAAAAGGCATAAAGAGACCCTGTATTTAAATCTTTCAGGCCCTGGGTACCTATCACATGATCAGTCATCAAAAAGCATATAGAATAATTTAAGTTTCACAAAGTCACAAAGCAAGTCACAAAATATCATAACAAGCCACACAGATTTGTGTTTAACATTCATGATGATAAAAGAAAGATTGGCTAGTCTAATATTCACAGGTATAACCACAGTAATAAATCCCCAAATGCAGGTTGAAACTCCTTGTCCAAGCCATGAACGCCATACTTTTCTCAGCTACGTTGACCACCATTATTCTCTTACTCTCTTGGAGCTGCTTTTCCAGACTTCTCTATCTTTCTTCTCTTGGCTCTTAGTGCCTCTGCCTCTGCGTCTTTCTTTTTATTACTGTAAACCATCTTCTCTAGAATCTTCCTCTTCTTTCTGCTCATCATCATCTTAGATCTCTCCAACTCCTCGTCTTCTTCTTTTGCCTTCTTGGCAGCCTTCTTCTTGGCATCGGTCTTAGCTTTAACTCTTGGGTCAACTTCCTTTTCTTGTAAGGCCACACCAGATAACTCAGCCTCAAGTTCTCGTTGACGTCGCAGAGCAGTGGTCTCTTCTTCATCTTCGCTGTTTTCGGCTTCAGAGAATCCACCAAAAGACTCATCGGCCTTATCAGGAGTCTCATCTGATTCATCATCAGATCCAGCAACATCCATACCCTCAGCAGTCTCATCGACATCCATGGCCGTAACCAAATCCTGTTTCTGAACAGCTGCCTCTTCGTCGGAGACATCTGCCTCATCTTCGCTACCGCTATCCATTTCGAGTTCCTCGTCCTCCCTTTCTTGGTCTTCAAGTGGGGCAGATGGATCATACTGACCACGTACTTTCTTGACAAAGGGACTCAAATGTGGAGGCAATTGTGCACCGGGTGCATATAGATCTGGTCTCTTGAGCTCCTCATCGTTGATACAATCCCAAATCCATTGTGGTTGAATATAAATGCGACCAGGGACTCGAGCTCCGGGCTTCAAACGCTGTGCTGTTTGGTTGTCTTCCTTGGCTTCCTCGTCTTCTTCAGGTTGGACCTGTACGGGTGGGCGATCAACCACTTGGTGGGTAATCGATGGGTCTGATTCATTATGAGTGAAAGCACCTTCTCCAAGGACTGCGTCCCAACCAATACGCTTGCAGCCAAATGCCCGAAGAATGAACTCGAGAGGCTGGCGAGGAGTCTCCCTTGATAAAAAGAAAGTAAACTTTGAGAACAAAGTCGATGGATCTGTGGCAGAATAAGAAGGTTGCATAAGTATATCACCACCTGGTGCAGCTGGCTCGAATTTATCAATGGTCTCAGTTGCTTGTTCTTCATCATCGCCATCGGGTGAAGTTTTGGCTGTCTCCTCGACCTCCTTCTCTGGTGCATTGAGTTGAAGCATCAGTTTGTCAATCTCTGCTTGGAGTTTAGGATCGGGCTTTGAAGCATCGCCATTGGTGATCTGCTTTGGTTGTTCAATAGCACCAATACCATTCCCTTCCAACGAGAATGCCCCTAAACCTGCATCTTGATCATCTCTAGCCGCGTCGAATTTTGGTGGATATACCAATCCAACAGAAGTGTAGAGACGGAAATTGACGAATCCTAGCAAAGTCTGGTAGAACTCGACGAAGGTACCCATAATTCGGAAATCTACATCACCAGTGACTCTTTGGTTGAATCTGTAAGGTACTAACCACAAAATATCTTGTCCTTGTATCGTTGCCTGGTAATAAATTCCTTTGATAGACAAGAATGACTTGCGCAAGCTGTTTGAGACGATTAAATAATGTTCGAACTCCAAGCATAACTTCTCGCACCTCGCAATCATCTTTGCAGGAACAGTCGAGGTCGAGGGTAAATTTGCAAATAAGAAAAGCATTGACAAGCAATCGTCAAGATCTCGTAGCGCATCGATGAATGTGGGATATCTTTCTCGGATGATGTGATCCAAATTGTATTTAGTCTTTCCAGTCTTCTCCGGTCTTGATGCATTGCGTTCAAGTCTCGCAGCGTCGCTTGCATCTCCTCGTCCTAAAGCTTTCGAGATTTTCTTCTCTAAAGCTTTCTGCTCACGGAAAGCATCGACAATCTTCTCGTGCAAGAGCCATTGAATATCTTTTGTGTAGTAAAAGGTGGTAGAATGTGTCGAGGATTTCGATGCCTTTTTCTTATTTCTTGGTTCTCGAGGATAAATTCCTTTCCAGATACATAGCTTACGGAAGTCAGGTAGACTGTTTCAATCAACAAATTAGTACTATTATTAAACACATAAGTAGAAGTGAAGCAACGATGCGACTGGAGGAATTGGGGAAAGGACTTTTTCAGATACTACTATGTATATGAATATGTACTTACGAAATTTGTAATTTTCTGACTGCCTGAGTTCTGGTAATGAAGTTCTTGGCTTGGCCAGAAGTTCCCTTCTTCTTAATTCTTCCCATTGTTGCTGTTGCGATTGAGATCGAGATGAGAATGGAGATAGTATCGTGGGGGGGTTTCTCAGTCGTGCTGATAAAAAAGTTCCCAGAGAACTTTTTTTTTATTTCTCCAAAGCTTCTCAATCCGCTGATTAACAGAAGAACTCTTTGCTTATTGGTTGAACCGTCTCACCGCCTTACACGGACCACTTGACCCTAGAACAACAGAACATCAAAACAAATCTATTGGTTGAGAATGAATTGAAGTACATAAGATGGTTACTGCTTTGAGTGAGTAAGGGAGCAGGTAAATAAGATGAGAAAGGGAATCGATTTCATGATTGAGCTTCATTCTTTTGCTCAATAACTTAATATTAACTCATGACCATCATGAGTATCGATAGGAGGAAGGCAGTTCTCTTTGGTGCAGCAGCAGCTGTTCGACTGTTACTATTTGCATCTTTCCCGGGCCTCCCAGACTTGTTGACGGCGAGAGTCGAGATCTCTACACCAGTAACAAGCTTCAAGAGATGTATATATTCCCATACATAGACATGAGTATTGACACGGCGACTAACTTCTTATAGTACAAGAGGGCCTCTTTCTTTATAATCACAATGTCTCCCCATACGATGGTGGCGTCTATCATCAGGCACCGTTATTCCTCCCTCTCTTCTCTCTCCTCCCGAGCTCTTCGATCTATCCCGCGTTCACATACCTACTGTACACATTGGTCGACCTTGCCAGCGCAAATGCTTTAATCAATATAGCAGAGTCTGGGGAGGCAGGGAATTCAAGGCTCTTCACATCTCCTAGAAAGGATAAACGGTGGACCAGCTTCGCAATTGCTGCTGCCTTTCTTTTCAACCCATTCGCCATTGCAACATGCATTGGCCGTCCAACAAGCATATTCACAACTTATGCTATATTGTATGCCATTTCAAAAGCATTAGTTGGTGCATCTTATACCTCGATGTTCGCCATAGCATTCGCAGCGTACCTGTCTATGTATCCCATACTTCTTTTCCCTCCTCTGGTCCTGCTATGCTATGATCGTCAACGTCCTAGTAAGCGTCAGGAGTCTTTGCCATTGTTCGTTGGTACTAATGCCATAGCTGTCTGTGGTTACTTATACTCCCTTCTACACATGTCGTACATAATCACAGGGTCTTGGGAATTCCTATCATCAACTTATGGTGTCCAACTTCTTCTTCCAGACCTCACGCCCAATGTTGGACTGTGGTGGTATTTCTTCATTGAAATGTTTGACTCTTTTAGGTCATTCTTTCTCGGTGTATTCTGGCTACACCTTTCATCATATGTCGGGGGCCTTACCATTCGCGTACGACGCCAGCCTCTTTTTGTGCTCACAATACTCCTTGGAATCTTTGCGATTTTCAAACCATATCCGTCAATATCAGATACCTCTCTATTCTTAGGAATGCTGCCAGTCTACAGCCACCTTTTCCCGTTATTGCGATATTCTTTCCTGGCCTCTTCTACTGTTCTATATGCAACATTATTGGGACCTGCCTTTTACTATCTATGGATTTATGCCGGAAGTGGAAATGCCAATTTCTTCTATGCAATTACGCTCGTGTGGAGCCTTGGCTGGAGTGTCCTAGTGGTTGCAGATTTACTTTATGCAGTTCTCAGGGACGAATGGGAAGTTGAACGACCGGAATTGAAGGGTAAAGAGGTCAGGCAAATATAAAAAAGTATGATATAAAGTAACCAGATCAGATCAGATCTCCATTATCGGCAGTTCTTTGGTACAATGCGTCATGTCGTGATTCTTATGAACTTATGTCCAATAGAGCTCCGATTTTACTACGCCATTACAAACTTCCACAATGTTTCCACGACGATGAAGGCTAAGAAATTTAAAGTCTGCCGAAGGTCTCAAACTATAAGCTATGATACACGGCCTCTATTATGTGCCTGAAATGATGATGTATGTGGAAAAACATCTCCCGATATAGTCAACCCAAAGCAATCTTCATCCTTACATTATTCTACGAGCGACATTTCTGATTTTCCGACCTGAACCTCAGTCACATTTTCCCCCACTCTTTTTCCTCCCTGCGCTCTCTCTTCTCCCGGTCATTTTGCTTCTTTTCCTGGGCCTTCCGACGTTTTTCTTTTGCCTTCATTTCTATCTCTCTCTCCTTTGCTTTCCTTCGCGCATTGCTGTTTTTTCTCCGTTCCTCGTCATAGTGCACATCCAATTTGGCCCTCATCTTCGCATCTTCGGCCTTCGCTCTTGCGGCACCATTTGCTATGCTCTTGCGTCTTAGTTCCTCTCGTGCTTTCCTCTCCTCCCTTTTCGATTTACTTTCCAATCTCATTCGTGATTTGATCTCAATCCCAAAGGCGCGTATGGCATTGTAGATACGCTGCTTTATTGACACCTCTGGCGCATTAGCATTGGCGTTGATGTCAGAATCGGAGGGTGCCGGTGAATCAGGAGAAACGCTGTCAGTGCCGGAGTGCAAGTCCAGGGGTGCTAGTAAATCAGGAGCAACGCTGTCAATGCCGGTGTCGAGATCGAAGTTGAAGGGTGCCAGTGAATCAGGAGCGACGCTGTCGATGTCAGAGTAGAAGCGCGCGGGAGAAGCAAGAGTCCGACGTGTCGAATGGTTTTTACCTTCAGTATTAAAAGGATCCGGGTTAGTCCATTTGAACGAGGGTTCGGAAGACTAAAGAGAGGTCAGTGACAAGACAATGCCCGAAAGAAACTACGGAGATACCTTAGTTGATTGGGGCGGACATTCTTTGGGAGGTGGTGAAAGTTTGGGTCGTTGAGTTTGGGTCTGAGAGGGGTTCGCTGCGATGACTTGACGTCGATTCTGATTCGAGAGAGATTGAGAATTTGAATTTGTAGGCAGTTGTGGGTTACCGTTCTGAGGAAGTCGATGGATCCGATTGGGGGTGTTCATGGTCGCGGCAAGAATCTTAACATCCTTCAGCGCCGAGTATATTTCGAATGATCAGTGGAGGTCTACAAATTGTGGTAGAGGTTTTATGATGCAGATGAAAAATCTCTGATATACCATGATATACTGAGGATATAGGTCTAGACTCCACTATACCCAGTTCGGTACTTGAGTATGAAACTACGAGGTTACTAAAGCTTAGTGGACGATCTTTTGAAGAATACCAAGAGCAAAAATTGTTCTGCTGGTGAGTTTTAAACACAAATTCTATTATTTAGCTCTTGGATCCAACGAATGTGACTGGACAAACTATACTGAATCAAGATTGAGAGATTCAAAGTTTGTACCTGCATATGTGTACATATATCGTAGTACTAGAAAATTGGCAATATTGGAATATCAGAATGATGATATGATATTTAGGAGCCAACAAATCATTTAGAAACCTCTGTGCAGCCCTTATGATGTTTGAATTTCTTTGAGAGAGAGTTGAACATTTGATGTAATTCTGACCTGTCGACTGTGGTTGTGGAAAGTGTTGTGAAATCAAATACGGTAAGCGGTAAGCACCTTTTTTGCCTAACGCCGAATCAACTTTCTTTCGTACATTTTCCAAGCCTTCAGAAGATCCTCGAAACAATCTTCATCGCATACATTTTCGCAATGTCGTCGCCAACAAACTCGACATTCACGAATTTTTCTCCATCACGCGAAAATCGCTGGAATGGACCACCTTCAACATGGCAGCAAATCACAGAAGAAGAACGTGGTTTGGCGGCCTCGCTGGATGAGCTTCGGAACAGAGATTTGAGTCTCCATTTATATAATGCTTTCGCGTTGAAAAAGCGAGCCAAAAATTCCAATGCTGATGGAACTGTTCATGGTGAAGATGAGGATCAAGATGATTCAAATGGATTTGCACCGCCTAAAAAATGGACTGCATGGCCAATTGAAGCAACGGAGGTCCCAAGGGAAGGCGAGCAGATAGGCCCGGATGATCTTGATGAAGTGTTTACTCTGAGAAGGAAGGAGGCTACAAATCTGAGTAGGGATCTAGAAGATGAATTGATCGGGGTCACACTAAAGTATTCAAGAGAGAGATTTCTGCAACGGGAAACCGCCGAAGACCACGAAAGACAAGTCGAAAATAGTGTTGCAGAGGAAATGAATATTGATGAACCGCAACAAGAGCAGTCAGAAGATCCTGAGATTGAAGATGATGGTATTAGAAAATCATCGGAGCCACCTCTATCCACAACTATTCTCCGACCCGAGATATCAGCTGATGACGAGCGTTCCCGAGAATTATTGCGCCCGTCAATCAGACATACCCTTTCAAGGCTGAATGATGTCTTGATGGCTTTGCATCATGCACGCAAAACCTGCAGACAATATGCCGCTCAAGCTGAGTTCGATACGGATGTGGAGTGTTCACGTGCAACTAGCATAGCAGGTGATGCTACAGATAGAGATTCGCCTGTCAAAAAGCCAGTGGGTCGGCCACGCAAACTTCAGTCAATTGATCCTGCAGCCGTTCCTCTTTTCGCACCAAATGAAAATGGCCTTGACGACCCCAAACTTTGGCGAGTGAAGAAAACTCACCGAGGACGGCCGAAGAAGGTTTACGAAAGGTTAGAAGGCGAGAGCCAGCATGAGTATCTCACTCGGATTGCCAGAATCCAGAAGAAACCCCTACCAATTTTTGCCCCACCAATCGAGCTAAGTACACCTAAACGTGAAAAAACGCCCACCTCGGTGTCTCCTCACAAATCACCTAGAAAGCTTTCAGAGAAGAAACGCAAGCAGATGCTAGGTCTCAGGGATTGGAGCGAGGTACTGGGATCTGCTGCATTAGTTGGATTCTCGCCGAATGTCATTGCTAGGGCAACGCAAAGATGTGCGGATCTTTTTGGAGGGAATATGATAATGAGGACTATGGTTGAGGGACCTGTGGTCGGAGGAAAGGACGATAAAGTGACAGAATATCACCCAGGAATGATTCCCGATCTCAATGAATCTGAAGAATCTGGAGCGTCTTTCGATGAAGATGATAACGAATCGTCAGATTCAGCTTCCGATACGGAAAACGCGGATAGTGAAGGTCATCCTCCCACAAAGCGAAATGCTTCTCGTATTGACAGCGATGAAGAGATGGATGGAGCGGTACATACTGATAGGTTTCTCAAACCACTCACCGGGAAGAGAGGATGGCGGGGTACCGATAAGGAGAAGAGAAAACGAAGCAAATCGGGGGTGGATATGGGAGATCGGAAACAAGAATCTGATGAGGAGGAGAGTGAAGCGTCGGGTTCAGACTCGGAATCGGACCTGGAAGTGCAGGAAGAGGTCGAGGGCGGAGGTTCTGATAGTGTCAATTGAGATAGTTTTGGGGGGGTGTTGGTTGATTTCCACGTTTTTCATATCTAAGTTCTGAAAGGGCCATCGTAGATTCCCGAAAAAAGAAATCCCGTGCGTATTTGTCTCCCTGATTGTACAAAATGGAACAACATGATGTTGAGTGTCTTGACTGAAGTCGGCACTGTTATCCGATGTCACCCGCTGAGAGGACACTTCGTTTGACATTGCACCGGATGATGGGGTCTGAACTTTTCGGCATTCACATTGAATTATTTCGCAAATTATAAGGCTTTTTTCAAAAGATGTCATCATAAATGTACCACTGCGCTCACATGCACAGATACAATATTGTAGAGCTCATTAAACATAATATTTCAAGCCCCCTCTTTCCAAAGTATATCATATAATAGAACAGAAGAGCCAATAATAATATCCCAAATTCCCGCTAAGTAACACAGCAAACATAAAGCAAACACAGAGGTATCTTCGCAAATAAACAAATCATTCACTCGTCTGAGTGATAACAGTCGTCTTATATCCACTCGCCCAATCAATCTTATCCCCACTTCTACTTCCTGTCTCACTACTTTCTCCAATCGATCGACTGCTCTCTCCTGTCTGGTACCCTGAACTCAGAACACTGACTTCTATTGAATCATCCGACTCTTCAGCTTTCCATGCCGCCTGTAGTCGTTCTCTTTCTAGATCATCCTTCCGCACGATTTTCTTATCTGCATATACGTATGTTCGAACGCCATAAGGGTCGTCTAGACCCAACATCGCAGCGAATTGTTTTGAAAACTCGTCATCAGAATCGGCAAGGGAATCCTGGGAGACTTTGCCAGCGGTGGCCGACTTATCAGAGTAGATACTGAATGCTTTCTTTTGACGAGCACTGAAGAGAGGTCGAAGCGTCGCAAAGGATGCGGCAGTTAAGGCGATGGCGGGTTCAATGATGGACCATTTAACTAGATTGATTCCTTCCCAAGTGTAGTCGGTGGTTTGGCTGAGTTTGTTGATGTAGTATATGCGGACTATTGTTGCTGTGCTTGCACTGTAGGGATGTTAACAAATCGTTGTGTTTGAGACGCACGTTGGCGAAACTTACAAGAAACCGAGAGATAGAATTAGAACAACTGATAGCTTTGTGCGCGGATTCATCTTCATCTTCCAGACAAATGTAATTGGTAGAATACCATAAGCCCAGTCCGTTAGAGCACTCATGGCGGCATGTGCATAGGTAACGTTAGCTCGAGTTGATGTGCTCAAACAAGATCCGCTGCCGTCGTCGAACATATTCCAGAAATAAGATATCGGTTGACATTGCAACAGTACGAAGATAAAGTAGGCCATGCTGACTAGAACTGCAATAGCCATGACACTATATATAATCCAAAATTGATATCGTTTGTTGGCAAGTCGTAAAAAATAGACCCCGATGGAAACCTTCGTAATAGCCATCGTGATGACATAGAGAAGCTCACTTGCGAATATATACTGAGAATGGTGAGCTTGATATCCAATTGTATTCTTCAAATATACACACCTTAGCAAGCATATCGAGATAATTTGAATTGATATTGTATATATGAGCACCGAGTCCAAATGCGAGTGACCGTAATAAAAGTCCACACAAAGCAGTGTGTATAGTCTAAGGTCCATAATATCAATATTGAGTCTCAATATATCAAAGTGACATACGTACTATAGAAGCAACAGTCAACCAGTCCTCAGGTCCAAAGAATTTTTGAATTCCAATCCTGACATAACATCGAAGTATACCAGCAATCCACGGTAGGGCTAGAGCGGCACAGGCAACACCCGTCACCTGGGCTCCTCGATTAACACCGAGAACATTGTCATCACGAGAGACGAGGTCGACCATTGCAATTGACACCATGGTATATCGAGGAAGTGTTACTCATGCGGAGAGAAGGAAAAAGCAATCATTGATCATCAACAGAAGCGCGGGAATGAGGTTAAGAAATTGGCTTTCCGGATACTAAAATCTGCAAGCCACTGGTATATAGATGAAAACAGAGAGTCCAGGCAGGTGGACATGGATTAGGACGCTTCGTAATAGTTCCCTGCATCGACAATTTCAGGGCAAGAGCGAGTCTAGCGCCTGCGAAAGAGGTCTAAAATGGGTCTTTCTTTAAGCCACGATAACCTCTTGAATCGGATCTACGATGCACCTACGAGATACGATTTTACGAGCGACTCGGTGGATAGTTTTTCACGCTAGATTTTTGAATGGAGTGCCCGGTTGTGACAAATTTTCAAATTTGCGGAGGATCTGCATTCGGTTAATGGGAGAGGGTCAAAACTCGAATGTTGGTATGTCAATTTCGACACGACTGGAATTCACGAATGCTGAACGAATGCTGAACGAATGCAACTGTTTTTTGCTTTCATATAAAGAACTACGAGGAGATTGGCTGACCGACTGTAAAGTACAAGTGCGTCTCGTTCTAATATATATTACGACTTTGTAAACTACCTCATGAGGTTTTTTTAAAATTACTTTTCGGCAAGCTCGTAAGGTTAAATGAGTTATTTTCGGTGGTCGGTTAAACCGCCATTTTTATTCAGACTAATTACACCCTATACATACATTCTTTTATGCGCCTAGGAATATATCTACT